AAAAAAAAGGAAAGAAAAAACCCATTTCTGTGCTGTGCAAAAGACACTTTGTACAATTCAAACAGAACAAACTCCATGCACATGAGTGGGGCTGCAGAATGCCCCAAGCCAGGCCTCAGCTCCGCAGCACAACCTGGCAAATCCCAACAAAAACAGGGCTGGAAATAATACTGATGCGCAAAGTCCCCTTGAGGAGGCGGGCAGGGAGGACTGTCATGAGCCCAGCCACGGCACATGCAGGATGAGCTTCCAAGCACTGCAGCTGGGGCCTTGCGGCGCCGACAGCGAGGGCAGACACGCACGGTCGCAGGCAGCGAGGCCACGCTGGCTGCCCGGAGCCTCGGGGCTAAGATGACACAGTCACGGCCGTCAGGGCTCCGTTCCGAGTGTAGTAGAACTTGCTAAACGCCTCTTCAAGTAAACAGGTGAGTCTGCTCTGGTCAGCCTGGGCAGAACAAGGACAGTGAGGGGTCAGCCCCGTCCACTCAGAGCTGAGAGCATGGCTGGAGACCCCCGGGGCAGGGACCTGGCTTATTCCTCCTGCCCGAAAAGGGCACAAACCATTGAACTCTGAGGAAGGAACACAGGCCCACGGCCCTACCCGAGTCCCTGCTTACCTCGCTGATGAACCCAAGCTGGACCAGTTCAGCTGCCAGCTCCTGGATGTTGTCATCTGCAACACAAGGAAAGGAGTCAGTCCTTGCTCCAGCCTGCTGCTGGCCCAGTGTCCCTGGCAGGGCAGAAGGTACTCACTGGGCTGAAGGTCACAGCTCAAGTGTCGATTCAACTTGTCTTCCAGTTTCAGCAGCAGTGTCAGCTGCAGGGCAAAGGAATTCTCATGAGGAATTGCGGTGCTGCAAGCTGCCATGGCAAGCCTAAAGCAGCCCTAGCAATGCCCCTTGGGATGGGAAGCAGCCCTGCAGAGCCCCTCGGGGATCTGACAGAACAGCCACAGCCAGCTCCACCCTGAGCTGCAGCTGCCAGCCCCATGCAGGGCCTGGCGTGGGCCGGGTGCCAGGGCAGCAGCAGGCACAGGCCTGGCACAGGCTCTCTGGTGGCAGCTGCAGCCCTGCAGGGCTACCCCAGGCCCCAGCAGTGCATCAGAGCCACGAGCCCTGCACAGAGCAGCGACCCCCCCTGCCCAGCCACAGAAACCTACGTGGTGCTTCACGCCCTCCTCCACGGACTCGATGTTGCACTGCATCAGCACCACCTGCAACAGAGGCACAGAGCCCTCAGCAGCTGCCCCGCAGCCCTGCCTGGCCACGGCAGCGGGGCTGAGCCCTCACCTTGCGGGTCTCCACCTCGGCGGGCTCTGGAGTTGGGGTTTTCACCGACGGGGGAGCAATGGGAGATTTCACCACCACCTGCTGGGGCTGCTGGGGCCGGGGCATCCCAAAGGCCGTGAGGGGATAGATGCCATTCCTGCAAGGAAGGAGCAGCGTCTCAGTTATACCTCTCCAGAACGTTTCCAGTCTCACACACGATGGAAGGTGTCTTAAAAAATCCCTCTTACCTCACATCCTCCAGGAACTTGTCCAGCTCCAGCGCTGGAGATTGTGAGAAGCTGGAAAACAAAATGTCCTGAGATGAGAAATTGTCTCACAGTACCATCCACTGGGGTCAGCTGGGGTGCAGTTTCACATCCCCATGTGCTGGGCTGTGCCCACAGGCAGGATGGGCATGGACAGGCAGCCCCTGGTGTGACAAGCTCTTCTCTTCCCTCCAGGACATAACCAGCTGTGTGGGCTGAGGTGAGGCAGCAGCTGTGGCAGAGCCAGCCCCACAGCCCCACACCTGTGCAGTGCAGTCATCTGGGGGGTGGCCCAGTGACACTGCCCCTGGTGAGCTGTTTCACAAATACCTGCCATGCCAGCTGCAGCAAACACTTGGGGCAGCCAAACCCGTGTCTCAGGGCTGCTCTGAGGCATTCCAGAGACGAGGTAAGGACTGCACAACTGCTGGAAGCCTGACAGGATGTCCTCAAGAGCTTTATGGGCTGCACACCTGCCCCAGCTCCCAGACCACCCTCCAGCCCCAGCAGCTGGGATCATCCTATCCTCTGACACAGCAGCAGGTTCCAACAAAAACTTCCAACTTTTCTCTAGCAGATTAGCCTGCATGGCAGTCTGATGAACCATCCAGAAATGATGCTGACATTTCAAGTGATTGCTGCTTTCTCTCCCTTGTCCAGCACCTCTGAGGTATGGCACCACCAAAAGGAAAGTTCCAGGCTGGCACCCCTGGACAGCCACGCCTCAGAGGCTGACATCCCGTGTGTGTGTGTGTGTGTGTGTGTGTGTGTGTGTGAGGAGCTCTCCTTACAGCTCTGGTCCTTCGCTTGTTGTCCTCCATTTTGAAACTGTATCAACAACATTCCAAAGGGAATTTCACACCACATTTCCTAGCACCAGGACAACTGGAATGTCAGCTTTTGGAAGGGTCTCTGTGGCTCAGAGAGCTGCTTATATGGACAGAGCTGTTCTTCCTTGTCACCTTACTCTTGTTCAGCAGCCTGGGCATCCCAGAACTCTGGGCTCCCTGGAAGCACCCTAGGCTTCCTGGGAACACAGTATTCACATCTTAGTCTAATCCCTTGACTGGCCAAGGCTTTGTTATCCAAAATGTACATCACTTTTTTGGATAGCAAAGCCTTGCTCCCTTAGGGGCCACCCCTCCAGTGCCAGCAGTGCTGTGTGCCACTGCCAGCTGCCTCAGCTGCCTCTCCCTGTGCACAGTGTGAGTAAGGTGCTCCATTAGGAGAACACTGAGGAACCCTTTCTCTGAAGTGACAAAGTGACTCCATCTGACCAGTTTGTGATTGGTCAGAGCACTTTCCCAAACTGTTCAGCCACGTTTTGCTGGTGTCTGCTCCAGCTACAGCGTGTTCATTTAATCTGTCCATTTGGGGAACAATTCATCTCAGCTGCACAGAATCCACTCGCAGGGAACAGGTGCAAGGTCTCCTTCCACCCAGGAACAGCCCTGCCCAGAAGTGTGTGTGTGCCCACACAGGGACTGCTCCTTCCCCTGCAGCTCCCACTGGCACCCAGTCAGGGGGAAACACCAACTCTGAGGTGATGGGCAGCGCCCCAGTGCCCACACCAGGGCCCCAGCACTGCTCCCCTGGGCACACCGTGGGCACTCACATCATCTTGACTCCTTCCCTGTCCTCGTGGTTGATCTCTGCCAACACTGCGTTCATGTCAAGGTTTTTGGTCATTTCTTCTAAAGCATTTTCAGGAATCATATCTATTAAAAAGAAAAGGAGTAACTTGCAGCAATGCAGCTCCTCTCCAGCCTTAGAAAAGCAATGAAAAGGGCGGAGAGGCTCTCAGAGCAGGTGGGACAGCACAGCCCTCCCAGCCCTGTGTCCGACAGGCAGGAACCCACAGAGCAGCAGGGCATGGGGAGGGCTGTGGTGCCAGCTCTCTGAGGGGCACTGCCAGCTCTGCAGAGCCCTGGCCACGTGTCTGGTACTCACGCTGGTGCCCGACGATGCAGTGAGCAGCCAGCAGCTTCAGCGAGGGCACCTCGAACAGCGCCGGGTGGAAGAGCAGCTCCCGCGCCGTGGGGCGCCGGCCCGGGTCCTGCTCCAAACACTTCTGGATGAACTCCTGCAGAGGAACCTGCGTGAGACCACGAGCAGCAGCAGCAGCAGCAGCGCATGCAGAGCCCGAGGCCGCGCTCACCCGCTGCAGGGGATCCTCCAGCAGCTGGATGGCACTGTTGATGGCTTCCTGCGGCACGTAGGAGGACTCCCCGTTCCCCTGGATCTCCAGCACTGCCATCTGCAAACACAGGGCACAGCCTCAGCCTCCCCTGGCAGTGACAGACTGCTGGGCACACAGGCTCCACCAGACCACTGCCAAGCATGAGATCAGCACAGCCAAGCTGCCTGGGGGAACTTAAGGTCACACTGGGAGAGACAGAGAGAATGGCTGCCTCATTACAACAGCTTGCTCCTGGTACCCGAGACTGCCAGGGAGCCCTGGGAGCTCTGCCAGCAACAACCTGGACAGCAAGTGTCTCCATTTTGAACCTCACAATCCATTGGCCTGTTACTCTGTTTGGCAATTCCATAATGAAGCGTGACTGGATCACTGCCAGGACCTGACAGGGTCCCTTCTGGCGGTGTGAATAGCTCTGCATCGCACAACAAGAGCAAGCACACAACACATCAAGAGTGGGCTCCAGCCAACCACACACACTCATTCCCAGCTAGGAAAGGCTGGAAAATATTGCAGAGAGTGTCTCTGCATTCAGCTTCAGTTTTGTTTCCTACAAGTTGTGTCTTTCCACAGTTCTCTTCCTGCTTCACTAATGGAATGTGCAGCACAGGTTGAGGGTTTCTTGTGCTGGCTCCTTCTGACAATTCTTCTCAGAAAATACTCCTAACCACAGCTCCCATTACCTGGACTTGGACCTACTGACTGCAAGGACAGAGGAAGCACAAAGCTGCTATGACCAGGTGTGTCAGACTCACATTGACTGCAGCCTCCCTCAGATGGCACAGGCTGGCCCAGACAAAGTGACAGACTGCAGCTGTCCCCTGCCCCAAACAGCCCAGGCACTGTCACACACATGGACATTACATAACAGTCTGCAGCAGGGACTATTCCCTCCAGCCAGGGAGTCTGACCTCAGGACTGGCCAAGACCCACTAATTCATTACCCATTAGGAATTTGGGAAGAACTGCAAATCCCTGAGCCATTTCCTCCTTAGTGAGGCACTTGGGGGAGCCTCCATAGGGATCCCTCCAAGGCAAAGTGCACTTGGCTCTGAGAACAAAACACATTTGTCACTGGGCAAACCCACCCATGGCCACGGCCCTTGCAGAGTTCTCTCTCTCTCCTCAGATTCATCATCTCTGTCCCAAAGCCCGTGTCTGACACTCACCTCCAGTGCACACATCCCAAAGGAGTAGATGTCCACAGCAGTGGTGACATTGGCAACTTCTGTAACACAGAAACAATATTGTTATCAGTCAGCTCTGCACGCAGCAGCACCACCCTGCACCAGGCTGGGACAGTCCTGCAGCTTCTCCCTCCTCTGCTACCACAGAACAGAGGAGCTGAAGCACTTCAGCAGGCAAATGGCTCAGGACTGTTAATGTGGCATCTGTCAGGAGCCTGGAACTGAGAACAAGGTGCAGCTTGGAAGCATCAGTGAGGCCAAAAAATGCCCAGGCTTGCAGGCACAGCATACCTCCATACTCTGGGGCAAAGAAGTGCAGGTTCTTCTGCTCCTCACGACAGGTCTTCACGTGGTTGTTAATGGTGTCTGGCGCCACTAGAAGAGAACCAGGAATGGTTGGGATACAGAAACCACACCCCATCCCTGATGAGATCCCAGGGAACGCCTGCAGCTCCAGGCCGTGGTACCCAAGGGGGCAGAGTGTGGCATTAAGGTACAGCCTTCATCTCTTGTCACCTGCCCCGACACAACACATCCCATCCCAACGCTGTTTCCTTGGCAGCTTGGCACCACTCTCCAAGGGCAAACCTGGAGACCACAACTGCTGCTGCCAGCAGGACAAGGTGGGAACAACTCCCAGCACAAATGCCTGACTTCAAACAGATCCACAGCATTTGTCACTCATTCAGAGCAGCAGCCTGAGGTGCCACTGCAGCTGGTCACAGCTCAGGGAGGATGGACCTACCACACAGCTCTTGCACGTTTCAGGAGGATGCTGGTGCCAAAGCACCTCCAGACAAGAATCAGGCCAAGCTGCTGAGGGAAGGGAGGTGACGACCCAGACAGCAGAACCTCCCAGCAGCTCCACAAACCACTCCCAGCTGTGGGGAGGAAATAACTTGCAGCCACAAGAACAGTGAGCAGGGCATAATTATGGACCCCCATGACAGATAAGCCTTTGGGACAGCCACCTCTGCAGAGACTGCAAACAACTCTGAAACTAAGCAGCTGTCTGCCAGGGAGAAACACTGAGGAGAGCAGGGAGCACAGAGCCACCAGCCATTAGAAGCTCTGCTGTCACACTGGAATGTGCCCAGTGCCAGTCCCATGTCCCACCTGGTCACCCCCTGGACAATCACCATCAGAGATGAATTTTAGAAAAAGGTTCAGCCAAATCCAGTGTCTGAGCAGGACGGGTGGAAGGAAGAGGTGTGAAGCACAGCAGAGGGTAGGGCAAGCAACCTGTCCTTGACCAGCTGAACTCAATCTGGGCACTCAACAGGCACTCCTGCAGGAACATGCTGTAGCTGGTCAGGCTTCTCAAACCCTCAGGAATGTGCAAAAGGAGGTGGCCAGGGTAAGCGGGCAGCCTGTGTGCCCCTGGGTGCTAGCAGTGCCAGCCCAGGAGGCAATGGTGGCATTCCTTCCAGCTGTGCCCTTGGCAGGTTCAGCAGGGCTGCCTGGGCACCCGGCCCTGCTCTGGAACCCTCCATGCTGCAGAGGACACCTCCCTCCTGTGCAGTGTCCATCTCACAGCCCGTCTCTGCCTCTATCCTGCACTCAGAACTTCCCCTTGCAGGCAGCCAAGACCTCCTGTCCCACAGCCCTGCTCACCTCCTGCAGCACCCCCGGGCTATTTGGGCTCTTGAGAGCACACAGAGCAGATCTGGACTGCCCTCTCAGCCAAGGGCAGTGCCTGGCCAGCAGAAAGCAGGGGAAGCAGTGTCAGTGAAAGGATCAACAGCTGATCTCTGAGATTGTCCCAGGATTGCTGTGCAACCCAGCAATGGGATTGTTCCACCAGGGACCTAAAAATTATCATCTGAGCCAAGACCACCCTCTGCACTGTGAGGGGGCGAGCACAGGGCCAGGAGAGCTGTGAGGCCACACGATCATCCCCAGCACTTCCACTCCTGCAAAAGGGCACAAGGCTGCACAAACCCACAGCGCTACAGTTTCCTTTCTCTGCACACAGCCATGACAAAAGCTCTTTTATTAGGGAGAGCAAGGCCTAGAAAATAAGGAACTAGGAAGTTATTTGGCCTAAAAAGAAGCATACAGCCATTAAACAAGGAGTCAAACAGGAAGAAGTGTCATATTTATGCTGATCACAGAGTAAAAGCTCCCTACAGCCCTCAGATCTGTATCAGGGACTGCAAACACTATTTGCAAAATGTTTGCAACACTGAGTCACCAGAAGGAACAGGATTTTATTATTTCTGGCAGTTGAGTATCGTTAGCTGAGGGAGCAAACAGATTCAGAGTATGAAAAGTTCACCACACACTGCTCCCAGTGCAGGTGAAGCTTACACACATTTGCACACACGCACTGACATGGCTTCCAGCAGGAAACCAACCTCTGCCAAAGCACTGCCCATGGCTCCCTCCAGAGAAAACACTGCTGGAGCAGCACCCGTGGCACTGGCAAGGGAGAGGCAATGTCACACAAAACTGGAGAAGGCAAACAAATTAACACAGAATCAAAGTCATGGCATGGCTCTTGTTGGGAGAGACCTGCCCAGGTCACCCTGTCCAACACCCTGCTCCAGCAGGGACACCCAGAGGTGGCTGCCCAGCACCATGTCTGGGTGGGTAACTCCAGAATGGAGACTCCATCCCAGCCTTGGGCAACCTGCGCTTGTGCCAGCACCACCCTGAGAATGCCCAGCTCCAGAGGGACCACCTGGGCCCCAGCCTGTGCTCCTGTCCCTGCCTCACCTGCAGAGCCTCCCTGCAGGTGATCCCCACCCTGGGGGGCTGCTGGGGGCTGTCCCCAGCCTGTCCCTGTCCCATCACAGGCTGCTCGGGGCTGTGCCTGTCCCTGTCCCCAATCTATGGGGGGCTGCACTGAGCACAGGGCCAGGACCATCCCCTCCCTCCTCTGGCAAAGTTCTGCCTAATGCAGCCCAGGGCATCATCAGCTACTGGCTCCCAGGGCCATGGCACACACTCCTGTCAGGGAGCCTCAGAGGGACAGGATCACACTGTGCCACGTTGCTCATGAAGCTGCAAGTAGTATTTTTACATTTAAAAGATTACTTAAGAGCTCTAAGCTGACGTGTCTGACCACATGCATTACATGGAAGCAGAAAGTAGAAGTAGGCAGAGCAGGAAAAACAAGAACAGATAAAAAAGAGCTGTGAGATTAGTACCTGTCAATCCTGGCTGCATGCAGGCTCTCAAACAGTGACTTAGAAGCTTATTGGCACTTTAGCTGGAAGAATTCATTATACAAACAACTTCATCGCTAACAAAGTGTGTTGGGAGATCTGCAATCTGCACCCAAAACCAAGTTCCACATTCTAGACCAGAAGAATGAAGGTTTCACTGACCATGCAAACAAACCCTGCTTGGGCTGCACCAATGCAATATTGCTATGAAGAAAATGTACATGTTCACATCACAGTGCAAGAACTGCATGCAATCAGAAAAACCAAGAACAGACACTCACTGAATGCTACACACTGAGCTACTCTGGAGGAGCCATCTGCTCCCAGAGGACAGATGTGCACTGGAAAACAACCCGTCACAAACACCACTGTGAGGATCATCTTCTGCTGTGAGCAGCTCTGCCTAACAGAAGCAGGGACTGAACCAATGTAAATGTACACTCTAAAATGCAATTGGGGCCCACAAGATGAAGAATTTCAAGTACAACTTTCCCAAATTTCCAACTCCTCATCTTTGAGAATCATTGTTCCATAACGTGCCAAGGGAGCTGGGGAGGTTTAACCCGCAGCACAGCTCAGCCTGGGAGCAGTGCCAGAGTGCCCACACACCTGTCCAGGCTGTGAGGGAGCTCTGGAGAGCACAGCCCAGCCTGGGAGCAGTGCCAGAGTGCCCACACACCTGTCCAGGCTGTGAGGGAGCTCTGGAGAGCACAGCCCAGCCTGCTCAGGCACAGCCAGCACCGCAGGCTGCTCCTGCCTGTGGGCGCCTCAGTGATCCTTTCACAATGGCACAAAGGAGCTCCCTGAACTGCTGAGGCTCACAAAGCCTTCAACCCAAGGGCCCTGGAAGGAACAGACACCTGCAACTGCTGTCTAATATGAGAATGGGGGAATGGGGACCTGGATGACTACAATTCACATCCCCACGCCCACTGGGAGTGTCACATAAAAGCGGAGAAAAAACAGAGCTGAACAAAACTGAAGCAGCAATGCTTCAGTGCAACACAGAAATAACAATGACCTCACAAAATGGATGTTCTACAACCTGGAGCACTAAACAGAGACATTTAAACCTTTTAAAATATCTTACTTAACTGAAAACAACAACCAGTCTAGGTGACCATAGTTTTCTGGTGTTTGCATGGATGAGGCCAGTCCCAGCAGCACACAGAGTACTCTGAGTTAGGGAAATAGGAACTAGGAGCAAGAGCTGGCTTTTAAACCTTCTACAAAACAAAATGAGTTTATCACTATCACAGCACACAAGGAGGAGAATCTTGGCCACAAGGCCACCAAGGTGACCAGTTCCTCCCACTAAAGTGGACATTAAAAATGCCACCAGCCTCCCCCAGACACTGAACACAGGGCCAGCAGGAGTGCTGGAGGCTCCAGCAGCACAGAACCCATGGATGGCACTCTCCATGGCTGCTGCTCCTGCTCTAACTCTGTGCTCACAGGAAAACCCAGGGCAACTCTCTGGAGCAGTTTCTGCCTCTCTGGTAACCACAGCAGCAGCCACAGCACTGCAGCATTGCATTGTACCAGCACCATCAAAATCAACCTCGTGCTGTTCGACCCAGCCTGTCCAACAGCTCCTCATGAACGAGCCAAATGAGAAGTGCCTTCACTTGGAGACAGGCTTTTACACCAAGAGTTTCACACACAACACAGACCCATGGCAGTCAAACCTCTAAAAGGAAATCCAGCCCCCTCAAAAAACTAGCCTGGATCCAACCTTGAACTTTCTGCTATATAAAAGTTCCACTCAAAACGACTTCCTTGCCCAATCTCTTTCCCAGCAGCACGTGTAGTCACAGAAAAATCTTATTATGAATTTCTGCCTTAGTTTTGCCAAGTTTCTAAGGAACCAAAAATGTTTGGCTTGATAGACAATGTGCTCGACTCACACATAAAACTGTACAGTTAGAAAAGCTAAACTACCTCTATTCATGTTACATTTCCTAAATCAATGCTAACATACCATTTTTATGGCAGATTTTTTTAATGTCTGATGACTTAAATTATCCATTATTTTCCTTTTAAAACTACACCTGCCATAATTGAAAAAACAAAAAAGCCAGATCCAAGATATCCTACTAACCTCTTATTTCTGCATCACCTCAGGTGTCTGTTAAGAATGTGGAAATTAGGATGGTATTTAAAGATCAGGCAACAAAATCCAAGGGAGTGAAGTGATGACTAAAATAAGATTAGTTATGAAAGCATGTCACTCACAGCCTTACCAGCTCAATGCTCAAGCAAAACAGGAGCCTTACACCCTAGATTCAGTGTTTTCAAACTCAAATCACTGCTCAAGATTCAGTGTTTTCAAACCCAAATCACTGCTCAAGATGCCCAGCTCTCATATCAACAGCACCTCCTGGTACAACAGTGTTAGAACAAGTTCACAGTCCAGGAAAGCTCAGTGTTCCAAGGCCATCTGATGCTGTTCCAGCACAGGTGAGACACCACAGCATCTCCTTGTGCTTGCAGAATGCTTGTCCAGGCTTCTCCTGCCCTTCCAGAACCAGGGCCCTTGGTTCTGCTCACAGGGGTGCCTGATTCTGGAGGAGGGGCTGGCCAGCCCTCAGCCTTGCTGCCCTCAGGCCAGGCTCAGACTCAGCCCCGGGCCTCGGGCCCAGCCCCAGGCCTCAGGCTCAGCCCCAGGCCTCAGGCCCAGCCCCGGGCCTCAGGCCAGTCTGGTCCCCACTCTGTGGGCTCGTTCCTGGCCCAGTTCTCTGGCTGCTGCTCTGCCACCCTGCAGCCATCACCAATGACACCTGCCCTGCTCCTCAGGCCTCCAGCCCTGACCACATCCCCGTCCATCCCCTCAGCCACTCCAGACTCCAGCCCTGACCACATCCCCATGCCCTCAGCCACTCCAGATCCCAGGCTGAGTTTCCAGGAGCCTCTGCCCCGCTGGAAAGGGGCACAGCACATCCTCCTGCCAGCCTGGAAGGCACAGAGCCTGTCTGGTCAGGCCCTTGCCTTTTCCACCACTTCAGCTGATGGTTGGTAGGTTCCCAACTCAGTAGAAACAAACTCTAACCATCGAGAATAACCCTGATGGTAAAAAATAAAATAATTATTTTAAATGTAAACACGGTGTTCTATGCAACAGGGTTACAAACTGCAGCACTCGAATCCTTCTCTGGCTCCCACCAACCCAACTCCCTCCTCATATGCACACATCTCCCCAGAACCAGAGATTTGTCTGGGGAAATGGCAATAGCCAAGCTTACTTCAATCCAGGGACTCATTTGGGGCAGGAGGGATCTGGCCATCAGGAGCCAGACACATTCACTGAAACATTCATCTTAAACCAACACATCTAAGGAGTTCAAACTACAAGCAAGCAATTGGATAGCCAAGCACACAGTGGGGGCTAGTCCAGGGCTGGGCCCCAGCCAAGGGCAGCAGAGCAGCAGCAGGGAAGAGCCTGATGGACGTGGGAAGTTCAGCTGGGAAGAGCTCAGAACAAGGCATGGCTTGTTGACATGCAGGAGCTGGCATGCACGGGGCCCGTGGACTAGCACACGCTAAGAACACGGAGAGGGAGAAAACTAACAACCAGGAGACTTCACAAAGGGCAGTGCTCCCTCTCTGTAAGGCTCTGGCCAAGAGCACGAGGAACTGTTGGCATCCCAGCACACAACAGGAGCTCTCCAAGCAGGATGCACCTAAGCCAAACAGTTTTACACACAGCCTTATAGCAAGGGAACACTGTAAATACATCAGTGTGTATGTCTGTGTGTTACAAATATAGATACACACACATATATATATAAATATATATATACAGATACACACGGAGGTAAAATCATGTACATGACATAAGTGGAGTCACATCACAGGAGCGGAGAAGTTTGCTCACCATTAGCAAATATCCTATGAAAGACTGTTGTAACAGAGCAGCCCGTGAGCGGGAAGTAAAACGAGATAAAGTCAATGAGTTGGTGAACAGCAAAGCACTTACATCCATAGAGACAGCTGGGTCAGAGTCAGGGCACACAGGGACAGGACTGAGCACCGGGCCCTGCCTCAGCCACCCCTTCAAACAAATCTACCTAGGGAACATCAGGGCTTCTACCTGAGAACCAGGCTGGGCAGGGGACACAAGGCAGCTCTGACCAAGCAGATGATAATGGCTGACTGAGACCAAGAAGCCAGAAATTCTGTTCTTCTGTGAGTGTCCTACAGTCCCACCCACCCCACCCTGCAGCAGAGAATTCCCTTTCTCTAATCCCAGCAGCTTCTGGCCACCAATCTCAGGAGGAGAACCCACACTTTCACACCTGGCCACACGATAAACAGCAGAGCTAACACCCATAGAGTCCTGCCCCATGGCCTGGGACGGAGGGCAGACCCTGAGCAGACACAATTAAACAGACTGAGGCTCAGTCAGGGGTGGTGCAGCCAGGACAGACACACACAGCAGCAATGCCTGGGGCACAACCTGCACTGCACTCCCCGAGCCTCCTCTGCGCTCCATCGAGGTCTCACTCAGCAGAGGCTGACACATTGCCACGTCTCAGGAGCACCAGAGGACACTGAGACCCCCAGCCCGAGGCCTCCCTTCTGCTGGGGCACTCCCAGAGCTGCCCAAAAGGGATTTAATTCAAACACATCACTTCTTTCCACCTGTGGATGGTTCTTAGGCTGCCAGCTGGAGTTCCAGGAACAGCTGCCAGCAAGGCCACCAGGAGCAGGCAGCAGCACCAGGCACCCTGTGTGAGTGTACACCCTGGTGTACATACACACTGTGTGTACACGCTGTCCTTCCCACACTGAGAGCAGCTGCAGCCCCAGAACAGCCCTGTCAGCAGCACAGACACCCACGCAGGCAGCACTGTGCTGCCCCTGGGCTCTAGAACAGTGCACAGGGCACAACTTGGGCTTATCACAGGGAATGCTTTCACCTGACCACAGCACCACAGAGCAGGTGGGACATTCCAGTCTCTCAGTGGCAAGGTTAAGAGCTGTAAGTGTCTTTCCTGTCCTCATCACGAGTTCTCTGAAGCTCTCCACTCACTTGAAACATTCTCCTTAAATCTATAACCTCTGCACTTTATGGAACTGGGGAATAAAACATGAGCAAATGAATGGATTATGGATGGCTTTTGCATTTAAGCATTATGCAAAACCTTTCCTCCTTCCCAGTCCTTTTTTCTCCCACAGCTGACCCCAGCACACAGATTCACAGGCTGAACAGAGAGCCAGTGCCCAGTGCAGCCAGGGCAGGTGCTCCTGCCTCTGAGGGAGCAGCAGGGAGCAAGGGCTGTTCCCACCCTGAACCAGTGTCACAGGGACACCACCAGGCATTTCCAGGGTGCTGCTGCTCCCTGGCACACCCAGCAGACAGCAGGATGTCCTGCAGTGCACCCAGCAGCTGCCCTAGCCTGGCTTCTGCCCCACATTCAGCAAGTATTCTCTTTGCCAAAGCCACAGGGAGAGGAGCTTGGGGAGCAGCATCCAGCACAGCACTGGGGACAGAGACAGCACCAAAGCACAGCTCACAGTGCACTGAACCCTTGTTCCCCATAAATCCACAGGAATTGCTGTCCTGCTGCTTTAAGCAGACACAGGGAAGTGCTCAGACACCAGCCAGCTGTACAGAACAAGGACAGGAGCAGCAAACATGGGCCTGGCATTGTTAGTGGCCCTGGAGCAGCTGCTGTTCCAGGCCCAGAACTCAAACCCAGCCCACGGAAATGCAGAGGCAGCAGGGCCAGGGAGAAAGGCTCCAGCTCCAACACAACCAGCAGCCCTGGGGATGCAGCTTTGCCTTCTCTGGTTGGCATTGCAGGAACAGGAATACATCCTGCAACACTGCCAACTCCAATTCCAGCCTGCACTGGAGCCAGAGCTTTCCCATCTGGGGGATTCCTCTTTTGACCACAAGCCCACTTGCAATCGTTTCCTTTTTTTATTTAGGAAAGGACCAGAATCTTTTAGATGAATTACTTGACTCCTGAATGTGAGGTGAGGCAGGCAGCCCACAGTTGTGCAGGAACAGCTGCACACGAGCACTGCAGCTGCAGCCACACTGCAGCACATCCTGCAGCTGGAACACACAGCCACCCACCTCTCCTGGCATGAGCACACACACGTCCCTGTGCTGCACCTGACAGCAGCAAAGCTGTGTGAAACTGAGGGGAGCCACCATTCTCCCACAGCTGAAGAGCCTGGGAGCAGCAGCCCTGGAGCTGCACACTCTGGGAATGGCAGGGCTGAGGAGCTGCACCATCTCCCTGGGGTGAAAGCAATGCCAGCTCCATGGGTTTGCTTTTACAGACAGCACTGGCTGCCCTGCAGAAACATGGCAGCTGCATGGTACCTTGAAACTAAACTGAAAAAGGGCGTTTCTGGAGTACTCAAGTTTTCCCATCAGTCTGAACTGAATGCCAGGGAGTTTGCCAGCATACAGGTACTGGATGTGCTCACTCTTGGAAATCTGTCCCACTTGGACAAAGTCAGGAAAACACAATACAGTCTGTGTGATGACATGGTGACATGAGCTTGTGTGAAGAGCAAGTCCCCAGGTTTACAGGCAGCCAGGAGCAGTAAAGTGGCTCCTTCTGCCACAATCCTGTCTCCCTGGTACAAGCACAAACCTGCTACCCCAGTCCTGGGACAACACAACAACACAGGAGTTCTTTGATGGGAAGAAAAGCCACAGGTCTGCAGCTGATGGAGAGGCTATTTCTGGATGACAGGAGATGCAGAGCATCCTCCCTGTACGCTCCACATCAAAGCAGAACTCACACAGACAATAAACAGCTCCAGGAAAGCAGAGACCTATTCCCAGACTGAGAATACTTGCCGAAGTTGAACAACAGGTAGCAAAGCTGTCCCTTGAAAGGTCGTGTCAAGGTGTGAAATAATGCATCCTGACTGCAGACAGATCTTTAGAGACACGGGAACAGCAGGAAAAACCAGAGCATGCCAGGATGCTCTGCACTGCCAGGAGCATCACTGCTCACTCATGAAATAAACCATTCTGGCACAGGGTGGCTGCTCCAGCAGGGCACGTGGGTGCCAAGCAGGCTGAGGGCAGCTCAGCAGCCTGAGGCAGCTCCATTGTCCCATGGGATAATGGCATGCTGGATAAGCCACTGGATGCTGCCAGTCTGTGCACTTTATTATAAACATGGGCTGCTACCAGCAGCACTCTTGTGGCTGCACAAACACAGCTCCCAAAGCTCCACAGGGCTGGGAGAAGAACTCTGTGCATCAACATGAAAACCTGCAGAGCAGATGAACCCACAGATTATGTGCTTACAAAACCTCCAGGTTTCAGCATCACTTCCTGTGCCATCCCCTTGAGACAAAAAGCTAAAGAAGAGGCTAGAGAAGAGTCCCTCCTGCACTGACAGGGGTCCAATCACCAGCGAATCCTGCTCCCAGTGTCTGGCACAGCTGATGTGGAGGTGGAGAAGCACCTGCACACACACGCCTCTGGTGCCAGGGAGCCTGGGAAGGAGCAGTGCCTCTCTCTGTGTGGGCAGTCTCTGGCAAGGCAGGGGCACCCCAGCAAGCATTACCTGACCCGATTTTGATCAGCCCGTTGTGCTGGATGAAGATGGTGTCACAGGTCAGGTTGCCATGGATGATGGGAGGATCACAGGAGTGGAGGTAGCTGCAGATGCAGAACAGAGCACTGGTCAAGGCCTTGAACCCCTCCCTTCACACCCTCCCACGTCAAGAAACATCAGAAGAGCAAAGGGCACATGCCAGGGATTTACAGCAGCTGGGAGATACAATTCCATGAGTGTATATCAGCCTCTGGCTGAGAACCAAACAGGAATTGCCTCTAATGAATCTCCAGAACATGGCAGAGGGGAAGAGAAAGATTTCTCCCATCAGTTCCCAAGAAACTCAGGGTACCAGAGGTAAAGACACAATCTCATCCAACCCAGTACTGCTGAGTGCATTCTAAAAGGGTTCCAATTTTATTTTTATACCAAAAATAGTCTGTCCCTACTCAAAGGGGCACTTAGTGCTATACACACACAACTGGGCACATTTGTCAGCAGGCACAAATAAAGCCTTTCAGTGCTGGGTTCCAGGTACACTCTGGTTTTCCATCTCACTCTGCTGGGGTTTATGTTAGCAGCTAGCACAAATGAGGACAGTCAGCTCCCAGAGGCTTATTAGAACCCAAGCTATTCACCAATAGCTGTAACTTAGCCAAGAGGCACCAGAGTTTCCTCTATGGAGTGCAAGCCACGCTCTGTCATCCAGGCTGTTGTTTTTCTAAGGTTCTAATTAGATTCTCACCAACTCTAGCCCAGGTGGAAAAGTTTTTAAAACGCACACCACGTTCTACCCAGCTGTACTGCACAAAGATGGCTGCAGAAGGGCTGCACCATCAAGAAATGTGCACACATATCTCACAACAACAAGCCTCAACAGCTATGAATCCACTGCCTGTACCAGGCCTGCAGCCTGCCAACATCGTGGAAGTTTTCCTAAGCCCCCTCACGTGGAACTTGGATTCCCTGTCGTCTCTGCAACATCCTCCTAACCAAGGAGACACACAGGTTATAAAGCTGGATACTCTGGAGACCTCACTAATACTTAACTGCCACATCAGTCCCAATGGCTGGGACCTCAAGGTCAGCGCCCCACGTACCTGAGAGCAGAGAGGATCTGGGTACACCACCGCTTCCATGCCTGCAGGTAACAAGAGGAAAAGGAGAAAGTCATCCACAAGGAGCTAAGCTGTAGTTCTGTGATTCACAGCCCACTCGCAGGAAGCAATACCTGCCCCAGCTTTTACTCAGTGCAGGTGTAAGGAATCAGGACTCCCATGGGTCCAGGAATACACCTGGGCTCCAGTCTCCCGTGTACAGACACCTTCCCCCCTCCCTGTGAGGCCCCTGGACCGGGCCACGCCCGTCACACCTGGACGGGGCCACACCCGCCACACCCAGACGGGGCCACGCCCACCACAGCACACCTGAGGAGCCGCAGAGCTGCTGGCAGTACAGCACCCAGCACAGAGCTGCTGTCCCACAGAACCTGCAGCTGACCTCAGTCACAGGGACACAGGGCAGCTGCAGCAAGGTGTTATCACCAGCTCTCTCTGGGATCCTCTGCTGAAAGGGCTTTCCAGGGGCTGATGGCTCTAAAGAGTTATGGTCACACGGAAAACAAGAGTTACCTTTTCATTCATGGTTTTGTGGTTTTTCTTTGTCTTCTTCAGGAACTGTTTCAAGCTCCCTGAAGACATGTACTCAGTGATGAAGATCACCTGTGGGGCAGCAAGACACGTTACCCTCCACCTTGTTAATTACACAACAATGAGAACCCAACAGCCTGATGGCTGCACTCACCCTGGCCTTGTTCTCTTTGACATCAGCCCAGTATTTGTGGAACTTCACAATGTTGAGATGATCCAGCTGAATCAAGTTGTCAAACACTGCTTTAACTTTTTCCTTAACATCAGAAAGACAAAAACATGTCATATCAGAGACTACACCAAATATCCTTCTCTCTTCTTGGCTCTTGGTCCCCTCAAACACTAACATAGATGTAAAGCCCCTGTGCTAAGAACAGGCAGGATCCATTTCCTCCTGCACCGCATCTCACAGAGTGTGGTTTGAGGGCCAAGTTGAAATGAGCCCAACAGTCTTCCAGGACATTTCCTATACAGGCCAGGCTTGAGCCACATTTGCTACATTTGGACAGCACAGCCTTCCAAACCCAGGCAATAATCAACACAAAAAGCATCCATAATCCCACCCCAGGGCAGGGCGTGCTCCTCACATCCTGTTGGGAGACACATCAACTCACTTCCTGAAGCTTGAAGTTCTTCCTCTCAGAGAACTGCACTTCATTCCACACAACCTCCACGCCCTCCTCGGTGTCCATGGCCAGGTAGGCGCTGTCGATGCCCGGGACATTGCGCTGGTTCACCTGCAGGGAAGGCGGAGACACCTGTGAGCCACACCTGACCACTGCCATGCAGCACCACTGGAAAACCATCAACTCTGCTCATTAACTTTAATTCACGAGGATTCCAGGACAGGATCTGCACATGGAGCAGGGCATATCCCCAACATGAGTCGCTGCAGAGCATGTGAGCAGCCAGTCCTGAGCACACTGGTGGGGAAACCTCGTGTGCACAAACGCTGTGCTGCAGCAAAGCTGCCTTCCACCAACAATATATTAGATTCTCATGGTTCAGGACACCTGCAGCTCATTCCAGCATAAAAAAAACCACTCCAACAATACAAGAGGGATACAGAAATGTCTCAGTAACTCAGATACAGCTTTGTGAAGGAATCCTCTGAAAGGTGATGACACCTGAAACTCAACCAAAGCAGAGAGGAACAAGGGGAAAGCTGAAGCTTCAGAGGTGGGAACCAATGACACAAGGGAAACCACGAGAGTAATTTCTTTAGTTAATAATTGTAAACATTGACCCAGCACAAGTACATCCACACTGAACATTAAAGACACAGATGAGCACCCAGAAAGCAGCAAGGTAAGGGGAGGGGTTGCGAGTTTGGAGCCCAGCACAGGGATGGCAAGGGCTGTGGGAGGACATAAGGCTGAAAGAGCTGCAGAGATCAGGGGTGAACCCTGCTCCCAGCAGCAAAGCTTTCTATAACATTGTTCTTCAGATATGCAGCAGCGTTCCAGATGAACATGGTCTCTTTGATCCAGCATCCATGGCATTTACTGCAATGCCTTTGCAGGCAGCTTCACAGGCACACAGCAGCCACAGTGGATATCCCACTGCACGGGATTCAAAGCAATCCCCAAGGATCACTGCAGTCAGGCTCTGTCCTGCACAGGACAGCCCCAGGAATGCCCCCTGTGTCTAAGGCACTGTCCCAGCACCCCTGAACCCAGGCAGGGCTGGTGCTCATCTCCAGGCCTGGCAGCTTCCCGCTGACCCAGCTTCCACAGATCTGCCTGGCAAATCCAGACTCATCTCTATCACCTCCACACACTTCAGAGCTCCTCCTTCTCATATTGTGTCACCTTCTCTTCCCTCACTGGGGACCCCATCAGCATCCCATTGCTGGAAACTTCTCACCTTATACAAGGGCTCCCTCAAAAAACCCCTCTCCCTCGGCAGCCGCTTTCACCTGACCAAATTCACCCCATTCCATCATTCCAGCTGAGTTACTCCATTCCATCCTGCTCCCTCCATAGCCTGAGCACACACAGGGACAGCCCACCAACACAGGTGGGGTTCTTTATGATCTCCCAAGGGACTCTGAACAGGCCCAATGACATTTAACGCTCTGGCACTCCAGGTGACACTGCAGGGACAAAGGGTGCCAGGCACAGCAAAATCAGAGTGATACAGAGTCCTCTGGCAGGAAACTCAGCAGTAAAGGAGAATGACACAAGCTGCAAGGTGTGGCACGGGCAGGAATAGGGGTACAGGCCACAATTACACCGGGAGAGCTGAGTACAGAGGACAGCTATGGAAAATCAGCACAGGAGGTGACAGCCCAGCATGAACCACCCCACCTCCTTCCACCTGAGCTGCCTACACAACTGAGGGGTGAAAGGACTGAGGTTTGGTTTAGGAAGG